TTTCCGCGTTTCTTTACCGTTTTTTTTTTCTTTTCCGCGTTGCTCTTCGTCGCGTTGGCGTTTATGTTGTTGCAAGTTCCTCGTTTTCAGGTTTATGTTTCAAATTTTCGTGCGGTTGCACTCAATCACCTTCAGTGTTTGGCTCTTTTCGACTTGCTGAGACATCGTAGACTATTGATGGAGTGGTTTTTGTGATTAATTCTGGATTTTCGAAACAATGAGGTTAGTTGCGCAACTTTCAAACCAGTGTTTACTAGCCAGCATGGAACGAGGTCAAATTTACCCTGTATTCTTACCTTAATCCAGAGCATTTGCATCACCCCAAGGTAATTACTGTAGAGGAATTCATCGCACGTAATAGGCGTCACTGCGGACGCTGTCGGCGTCTCGCTTGAGCGCTCTTTCGTACCTCTTGCCGTCTGCTGTCTCTCCCATGCACGAATTATCTTGGTCGGACGCAATGACGTCCAGTCTGTGCATTTGATAAATCGCCTATACCTTTGGTAGTGTAAGCGGGTTGATGGCTTTTTGGATCGATTTATACCTCAGATGTGTCTTATGTAGCTCGAAATATGCGTAATTGATTGTGTCTATCTTGTGCATGATTACGAGTATGCGCACTGGAAGTATATTTTAATCCTTATATATGTTGATAGATACGGACGCAGAGCCTGCTGCTTTGATAGAGGTTCTCGTCACATCTTTATACCAACTCAAAGAATCTTTGCGCACTTGAACGTTTTATTGCACACAATTCATCTTGAGGATATCTCCCGTAATGTCATCATTCCATTATCATGACATTTCAGGACACGGGATCCTGCTGTACTTGCCAAGTGCGAGTTATCGTTGACGTGTGTATACGATCATTCGAAGAAACGATACGACCATCACCAATTATAGTCTTGCTTTGCATGCTGTTAAGTTTGAGTCTCCTACAGTCATGAAGATCACACAATTAATGATAGTAATTCCATAATCGTGCTGTTTTCAGAGAGTTCAATGAGACGATGCAGACATTTGGGCCTGGATTCTAACTCTAGACTCAGTTCAGCTGGATTGATCTAGGCTCATTATGGAAAACAACTGATCGCAGAGGTAAGCATTGTCAGTCAGGGTTAATCTTTCTTATTCAGTTTATTATCGTCAGATACTTGATTCCTTTCACGACGATAAGATGGTGTATATATTTTTTCGAAAGCTTTACGAAACGTTTGTCGAAGCCATAGATGCTATCGATAACGGCATACCACAGTATGATGGCACACCCAGGTAAGAGCCTTGTCAGTATCCATTTATATCTTGCTTGAAGTTTTATTTTTTTTTCGAATAACGTTTTGGATGAGAATCATGCTTTAATCATCAACATATTGTATGCTGATTTCTTCCTATCTATATTGATTTGGCTGTGTGGTTTTGCTGCTTCAACATATGACTTTTAAAATATCAAACATCTGAGGCGGTATGCATCAATCTCCCGTTTTGAAAGCGGGCGATCATTTTCAATAGTAAAATGATTGCCCGCCGGGTTGGCCGCCCGACCCGTAATGTACGAAGCTGCGGCCAACCCGGCCGGGCATTCATTTTTTATTGGAAATGATCGCCCGCTTTCAAAACGGGAGATTGATGCATATCGCCCCTGGTGGACTTTCTGGTCGTGTCAATCATGTGAGTCCCTACTGGAACGAAACTGACCCCAAGCCCGACGAGAGGTTTCAACAAGCTATAGATCTTGTTGGAGGTTAGTCTGGGTGAACCGCAGTCAAGGTGTTGGCTGTTTGACATCACCCATGCTGTGTTTCACCTTTGATTGCATGTTTCTCGCGCAACTGCGTTTGTGCGGTGAGAGTCGCGTCGCGGAATGTCTTGAGTCAGCACGGTAACGCAGGTCATGCTATCATCATTTATAGTGCAGCTTTGAGATCACGCTAGATTAGGCGATTTTACAATGCTGGTTGAGGAGCTTTCTAATCTCTGCGGCATTGACGGATGCATATTTGTGCACGTGACAGGTACATCTGAAATTTCTCATATTTTTTGCCAATTTCTTCATTTTGTAGTATTTAGGGTTTATCGGAGGTAACAAGGCATTCGAAGGAGCTCTAGCTATGGCAAAGAAGGCGCTCGAAATTGGAGATGCGGAGATTTGTGTTAACGTTGCATTTAAGTAATGGAGTGCAAGAGCATCGTGCTTTTGCTGGCCCAACAACTTTGGAAGTATCAGAATGAGAATTTTTTCTTCTGGATGATATCCCGAGTGATTTGGATACAGGGATCGGTTCATAATATTTGATTGAGTTGATTGTTTGGAGCAAGATAATGATAAATGTTTCAGCTAGCAGCAAGATCTGAAAATGGACAGGAGATAAAGAAAATGAAACTGGACAATGAACAAGCAGTGAGCAGTACTGTGGAACGTGCTCATTAGGATAGTTTCTGATAGAGAACAGAAATCTTTCAACTCTTCCCTTGTCTTTACCTCATCACAGCTGCATTCATTTTTCTTCCCACCGTCGTGGTATCTGTATAGTATTTCTTGTTTACTAAGTATCGGTCATGCCGTAGGACGCTCTCGTAGTCGAAATATTGTTCAAGTTGCTCTTGCTATATTCTCTAACTGTGATTTTCTGTAAAGTATGGTGATTTCGTTTATCACGTCGTATAACTACTTGTCGAGTTCTAATTCAAACTGTGTCTACCAAAAACTTCCGCCCAAATTCTTGATTATGCTAATTTTTTCTTCGATCATGAGTAAACTATTAATCGGGTGTTTGCAAACTTGGGTCGCGCTGAACTCCTACCCGGGGGGGGGGGTCCTATTAGGCTAATTTGGGTGGGGTTTAGAGACACAATTGGGGTTTGGAGCTTAAAGGCAGCGTCCAGGCAAGTCTGGACCTATGGGGATTTTACATGGAAAGTACTTTTGGGGCCCTAACTAACCCACTACCCAACCGGCAGCTCAGGTAGTGCTGTAACGCCTGAGTTATTCTGCTCGAAACTGGACCCGCGACCGTGTTTCGCATGGATTCATGGCGCAAAGCGCGGATCCTGGCGCGAAACTGCCATGAATCCATGCGAATACGTTCGCGGGGGTCTGTTTCGAGGGGAATATCTCCGCCATTAGAGCTGCTGCTTCGGCAGTGCCTTAGTTAGGGCCCCAAAAGTACTTTCCATGTAAAAGCCCCATAGGTCCAGATCTGCCTGGAAGCTGCCTTTAATTAGGGCTAATTACAGTATGCCGCGGCAGACTTGCGGAGCACAAAATCGGGGGGCTCCGGCGCACAAAATCGGGGGGCTCCGGAGCAGAAAATGGGAGGTATCCGGAGCAGAAAATGGGAGGTATCCGGAGCAGAAAATGGGAGGTATCCGGAGCAGAAAATGGGAGGTATCCGGAGCAGAAAATGGGAGGTATCCGAAGCAGAAATGGGAGGTCTCCGCCGGAGAAATGGGAGGGCTCCGCCGGACAAATGGGAGACCCACCGCTGGGGAAACGCCGCGACCCTGCCATTTCTCCGGCGGAGGGGTCCTATCCGCTGCCTGAGCAGTCAATCTCCTTCTCATCTCCTCTCACTTGATCTCCTATGATAGCGTTCGCGGCAACCTAGAGATAGTTATTTTTTTGAATTCCGAAATAGAATCTCCTGCTCGTAACTGCAGATACTGATCTACCCCCGTTTTTGGACAGATACAGAAAACTTCAGACCTATCCATAACCAGAAAATGATGCGAAACAAGTTGCAGAGCTGTAAGTTCGCCAATTTTCCATCCGCCATATAGAATCTAAATGATTGTTCACTAGATCGCACATTAGTATTAGTGAGCATAAACTCAAATGAATTCTCAATCATACAACTGCAGCTTGTCGCACCTTTTCAAGAAGGTGACTGCAGTTGTGGAAATTTTGCATTTTAGACTACAACCCAGAATTTTTCTAAGAGCTTCTAGATTTCCGAGCTAAAAAAGAAAGGAAAGATCTCGGAAACATAACAAAAATCACCTTTTAAGTTACATACCATTTCTTCAAATGATTAGCACATAAGTATTGTACAAAGAATGTACTCCAACGATTTTTGGGTTAAATCAGTTTGAAATGAACCGAAAAAATCGATCAAAACTTCGTCCTCTGAGTCAAAAGTGTTGCATTGATGCTCAAAAGACGTTTTGACAGATTTGTTCCAAACCGTAAATCTAATAGGGTTAGGATACTTGGTGACTGTGGAACTGACTGTAATTCACCAGAATCACACATGCAAGTTGAATTTCAAACACAAAGGCGATAAATACGCCTAGAAAACTTCATATAGTACTGCTTATACATTCTACAGATTGTGATACCAAATATGTAAAAGACTATGCAGATAGTAGGTTGTGATAAAAGTAATGAGAACTTTTCATCCTCCACTTCAAATTTTCGGCAACAGGTAGAATAACGACAAGCACATCAAACTTTGAGATAATTTATTTCCTTCCCCTTTCCAACAATTATATTGTTATTGTCGTGCTATATTTTTCATAACTGCTCACAAAATCTTTGAAAATTCGAAAACCAATTTGTAGATTTGCACACAACGAAGATGCATAACCATACAAAACCCCGAGATTCGAGTGGTTCAAAGCTCTCTATACATTATTATCAAGCCATTTTGCAAAATAATCAAGCTTTCAATGCTTGGTATCGTGATTCAAAATTTTTGAACACAGCTGCAAGAACTGTGGACTCCGAAGGAAAATCTTTTGTGTACCAAATCTGCAATTATTTTAGCAGTTGCTGGGGGGTTGCAAATTGTAGCTGTTTAATGAGGAAGAAAAACTGCGTCGGGTCCCGTTTAGAGTACTTGTATGTCAATATTCTATCCAATTAGACTAGTTCCAAAAAAAGACGTAAAGTCCTCATTACTTTGAGCTCACACTAGTACAAGTATTGATGGATATATGTAACATTCTCGGAAAGAAAATATATATGAACGCCAAACAAATTCCAAAGCACAGCGGCGAGATGTTCAGACGGTAGAAAACATGAACAGTGGTGAAATATGCCACCCATGATCAGAAGTGACGAAAGGCTGGTCAGCATTTGCACTCAACCACTTGTCATATTCGAGAAATAAGTCGCGATGATGATGGAAAAAGTCTTCTTCTCCAAGACCACGCAGCTCTCTCCTAGAATAGTTCCTTGAAAAAAGCAAGCCACAAAACGGAGACGCACCTTGTAAACCAAGAGACAAGATATCCTTCGGGGTAAAATGGTGGATCTCGTTCTTCATGACCATCTTTGCTATGCATCAAACACCCGAAGAAGAACGTACCAATATTCGAGTACGGCAAAGCAGCTTTGTGCCTGAAAAAGAGGTTAGGACTGCTTAAGGAGAAGCCAAGACCAAAAGGTACTAGTATATACCTTAGCGAAATGATGGCATCAGGTATGGCGCGAACTCCCGTCTCTTCTAGAACTTTTCTTCTCGCCGTTTCGAATATTCCCTCGCAGCCTGAAGCCTTTCCACCGGGAAATTTCCATCCCAAGCTAATGCTGAATCTCTAATTTCGGCGACAAAAAAACAGGTTGTTTACTCATCTACAGCAACTCAAAATGAATGTGACTATGAAGCTTCCTTTCTCGGAACTTTGTTGCAATTCAGTCACTATCGAGAGATTCTAAATTGAGTTGCCGGTCACTAGAGATTAACAAACACCGAGAATAAACAGATATTGGCGATAGCATTGAAAAAAACCTGATCATGTATTAAAGCTGATAGCCACTTGAAGGCAATGCAATTCAAATAAAACCTAGATTTACTGGGTTCGGCTTGAAAAGTGATAGAATTTTACGAAAACTTCCGACTAAGTGGCTTCAAAACCTGAATTTTTTATTAGTTAGTTAGTTAGATTAGTTTAAAATTTTAGGGTTTAGAAAATACTGCATGAGAGTCCTTTTGAGCAAAGTCTTGGCTGAACTCTTTTCAACGATATATCCAAACAACAAATTTATTTTTTGAGGAAGAGGGGGGATTACTGATTTCGATCACCAACACTGCACAGCAATGATGACGCGTCTTGAACTTTTCCAAGTGTGGTTCATGCACCATTGAATTCATAGATCTAGGATATAACGCTTCAAGTGTTACCGACCTACAGCATTAAGAAAAACCGCTTTAGAAATTATCGTAGACGCACATATCAATAAGATTTTAGAGGAAAATAAATGTGAGAATGTCAATGGGGTTTCGGTATGTAAGTAGCACTGATCTCAGGAACTACCTAAGTAGACCCAGACATTAACAAACATTCCGACTTCAGCGAAAATCACACTGGTTTGGAAAGGATTTTTTCCAGTCAGGTACTCAAATCTAATTAATACCACAGAGAGTAAAAGTGCATACTTCAATCCGAAAGATCTTGCTGTAAAGAACAGAATAACTCACCGCTTCTGTTCCTTGACCATCAGGATGCGTCCCAGATTGTCCAGGACCATACATGCAACGCTATGGTAGTTGCAGCCAAGCCTGTAAAAATAATGGCAAGAGTATCATTAGGACAAATTCGGTTAAGGTGACAGTTATGAGTTAGCAGACACCGCACTTGCGATAGAATTGCTATGATCTGGAGTCATTTTTCATATATCATGTATGCATCGACTTCAAATGGTATTCTGCCCAGTCCAATGAAGTGCGGTTCAAAATTATACGAACACCCAAATTTTTTTAAGTTTTCGGACTTGTTGGCAAAAACTCAAAAAGCCGCCGTACCACGCGATAGAACACAGCCGAAAACGGTATAGTATTCATACGAATGGAAATCGATGTCAATTGTAGGAGTGTTTTTGCGCCTAATGCGAATTTTTAGCTTTTCATAATTATACGAACACCTCAAACAAAGGTCCATCTTTCATTCAAGATTGCAATCGTTTGAGCCCAAATTTTTTGTAGAGTCACAGTAACAAAGTCCGACATATCTGCTACACACTGAACCCAGTGCAGTTCAAAACGAGGACCGTTACTTTTTTTGGAAGGCTCTAAATACTTTTGGAGTGATTGGGCTCCAAAAACATCCGTTCTTCTGTGATTTACGAGCTCTAATTAGCTTCTACCAAAACTATGAGATAAAATAAGCTCCTTCGATAAGTATTTTGTTTGACGCTTGGAAAACCTTTGCGTTTTCGTGCCCTTTTTCAACCAAGTTCCAACCTTACCACATAGTTAGCACGATTTCGAGCCTCAAAACTCAGCTTCTCTCTTGCGCAAACATTTGATATGAAACAGCTGCATTGTTTGCATGATAATGTTTCTGTGCCAAAGTTTTTGGGTTTTTTCTAGAACTGATCTTGCGGCTGTGGAGCTACAAACCAAATAAAGGTGTGATTGCAATAGTAAAAACAGTATTTCTAGTGAAATAACGTCTGCGTGACCAAAACAAACGCTCAACGCTGCTGATTTTTTCTAGCCAAATATAAAATCTTGTGAACTTTTACATACTATATGCTTACTTCATTGTACGGCTTCAGAAGCTGAGTTTTGAGGCTCAAAATCGTGCTAACTCTGTGGTAAGGTTGGAACCTGGTTGAAAAACGGACGAAAACGCAAAGATTTTCCAAGCGTCAAACAAAATACCTATCGCTAAAGCTTATTTTATCTCATAGCTATGGTAGAAGCTAATTAGAGCTCGTAAACCACAGAAGAACGGATGTTTTTGGAGCGCAATCACTCCAAAAGCATTTAGAGCTTTTGAAAAAAAGGAAAGGTCCTCTTTTTGAAATGCACTGGGTTTAGTGTATAGCAGATATGTCGGACTTTGTTACTGTAACTCTACAAAAAATCTGGGCTCAAACGATTGCAATCTTGAATGAAAAATGAACCTTTGTTTGAGGTGTTCGTATAATTATGAACCGCTGAAAATTCGCATTAGGCGCAAAAACACTCCTACAATTGACATGGATTTCCATTCTTATGGATGATATACCGTTTTCGGTTGTGTTCTATTGCGTGGTAGCAACGGCTTCTCAAGTTTCTCCCAAAAAGTCCGAAAACTTACAAAATTTTGGGTGTTCGTATAATTATGAACCGCACTTTATACTAAATACTGAAGTGATCATTTTCCTCAAAACTTGTACCCACTAGTACAGCGTCACGGCAATGCTATAAGTACCATTTGTTAAGACTACGCTCATAAAAATAAGATGCCCTCTACGACTTCCTTCTAAAGACTGCACGCTAATTTAATTCGTATGAGATTCGGAATTCCCATACGGTCTTGCATTTGCCGTTCTGACATACTGACTATATTTGCATCAGAAATCAAGTTTCTCCTCTAAAATGATAGGTCATTTTTGAGCAAGCCACTGCCCAGCAGATAACGATTCATTTGTGGCCGAGAAATCGGAGCCTGAACATTTAAAGATACTATAGTTTTTGAAAACCCACCAAATAGCAGGTACAGTTTGGCTTAGGCCATAGCTTATTGTTATTCGAGAAATCAAGCATTCACGTCATAAATGGGAAGCTAGGAAAGCAGATTTGATTGAAAATGAAAACTTAATATGCCTATAAAATGTTGCAGTGCCCAGAAGAGGGAAATGCTTTGTACCACTGTAAATTATGTTTCTCATCAGATTAAATTTCTTTGCTCCAAACTCCGCATAAAAGATTTGATAGCACCACAGATGTTGGAGAAAATGACACATGGAAAATAATTAGAGGAATGGAAATACATAAGCGCTTTAGGCCTCGGGCAGAGTTCACGCGATTTGATCGTCGCGATTCAATCGCGACTAGACAACTGTTACGAGTTCATTGCATTCCGACCAACTTGCATCTCGGTTGTGATACTTTTCCAGCCCGAAATTTTTGAATGCGAAATGAAAATGAATGGAAATCGCGGCGATTGAATCGCGACAATCAAATCGCGTGAACTCTGCCCGAGGCCTTAGAGGCAGTGTCCGGGCAAGAACTCGATTTTGAGATTTTGTGCTTACCCGGGCCTATTCGCTATGCTGAATCCAAAAATCCACATTGGAGAGCGCGAAAACGACGAAAAAGGGCTCTAACACTGGAGGGAAATCAGCAAGTGGGCGGGGTCCCCACTGTGGATTCACGCTTCCAGCTTCGGAGACGACCTTTTTGATTCCGGTTTCAAGTCATTCGTTTGCACTTGATCGGTAGTGATGTCAGGGCGGCTAACGGATTCGAGAACATTGCTCTGGAAGCTGGAAGCGTGAATTCGCATTGGGGAAGACCCCGCCCACTTGCTGATTTCCCTCCAGTGTTAGAGCCCTTTTTCGTCGTTTTCGCGCTCTCCAATGTGGATTTTCGGATTCAGCATAGCGAATAGGCCCGGGTAAGCACAAAATCTCAAAATCAAGTTTTTGCCCGGACACTGCCTTTAAGGATACTCTTGATTAGCCGCACGATATTTTACCTGCTGGTGGTACCTTGAGCCGAAAGTTTCCAAATCAAGCGGATATTTTATAGCACTGGCAGGCATCAATATCGAAAAGCGCATAGTACTTTTCTCATAGTGCAATACCACCCTCAGAACGTGCAAAATTTCGTGAATGTCGCGGCATTTCCGCAATTCCGCGACATTCCGGGAATTTCGTGGAATTTTCGGAATATCGCCATGACCTCCTTCGGAATGCATGAACTCTGGATCTGAAAAGAGGGTTATGCTCAGCTCACTGAGGCATATCTTTCGGTTTATCGCCTTGCCGCTGTTCTTTAGGTACGGTGGGTGTACAGCAGTAGGTGAACCCTTTTGCGATTTTCCTGAAATTCTAGGGGGAGGGGGAGTAATCGGTATTGGTCGTGGTTGGTTTGAAAAAATGCGAGTATATCGTGATGATTCCGTCGATGTTGTTTTTCCCCTCTTCTACTTGTTTAGTAGCTTCAAATACCTATTTATTACTAGAAGAGCAGGTGGGTGTACGAGTACAGGACATGAATGTTGTGTTCATCGAGAACCTCCTCTCCCCCAACAAGCAAAATTCATCTCCTACCGTACACCCAAGTCGAGGTACCAAACGATTCGCCTCAATGAGCTGAAAATAGTCCTTCTTTCAAATCCAGAGTTCATGCATTCCAAAGGAGGTTATGGCGATATTCCGAAAATTCCTCCAAATTCCCGGAATGCCGCGGAATTCCGGGTATTCCGCGACATTCATGGAGATTTTGCGCGTTCTGAGAGTGTGATGCTACATGGTCAACACTGTCAGATGCTACCAGAATTAGTTACAAAATTTAGCCATACCTATTCCTGTCTCATTAGTACTTATAACAATTAAGTCAGAACTCACGAAGCCAGCGGAGACTGAGCGTATAAGGGAAGCCATTTCGACATTGTGACGTTTTCGGCGGTTAGAGAGCTGAACTTAAATCCATACTTCGCCAAAATTGGGATGAGAAACGAGTCCTGAACGTGAAGTTATATTTGATTAACTACTCTCCTCAAACTAACATTAGCTTATCCTCGTTCCTTTTTTCTGCGATCGAAAAGAGCTCAAATAAAATGGCAGTATCGGTAAACCTCGCAACTAAACGTTTTGTGCAACTACTCTTTTTTTCTCCCATGGTAGATATAAGAGAACGTTTTTCCAGTAAGAAGTCGCTACTAGTGAACCCTTTCTTAGTTCAATTTCAGTAAGTCAAGGAATGCATAGAAAGTAAAATTCTTCCACGCGGAATGAACACCGTTCACTAGTATGGAGAAGGAATGGATGGGGCAGGTGTTTGAAAGAATATCTGTCGAAAAAGCAACTCGATCACATTTGTGACGGTCCCAGACACAGAAACTTTCTAGAAAGGTCCACTGGTCACTTGGAAGACCTGCGAAGGGCGGTAAGAGCGGCACAGTAAAAACTAGCATTCGAACTAATAAACAGCTCGTAGCTAGCTGACGACATTTCTCAGATTTGCATATTATAGCAAAATCTCCTCACACACCAAACACCTCTATAATGATTTTGTTTTGGAAAGCCTCACAAAGTGCAATTTGTAGTCACCATCTTAGAATATTTAACCTCTTGAAAACACTTAAGCGGTTCAACAATAGAAGCAAAACTAGAAACTATAGGGCAAAGGCTCACCTCCAGTTCAACTGTGATTCTCACGATCTCTACATCGAGTCGCTTCCAAGCTTCCAATGAGTCGAAAAGCATTTCTTCAAACTGCATCGTCTTCAAATCTTTTGGAAGCTTTCTTGTTTGTACCAGCATGCTCCCGTCGACTGTAGTTTTTGCTGGCAGCAACATTGCGATACCGAATACCTCTGAAGCGATGTGATTGGGTACAAACGTAATCGCATTGTGTCAACTATAAAATGAAAGCAACGATTCTTGGAATTGCCGGCATATCCCAGTTATTTTAGTAGCGTACTGTCGTAGATTTGCAAATTATTAATTTCAGAATCTTACGAAGCAAAACATAATAAATACCTCACTTCCTGTCAAACGTAAAGGATAAGCTGTGGCCGTCCAGGTTCAAGTTAGACCTCGACGACTAAAATCGTTAAAAAAAAGTTTTTTTTGCACCTACATCGTCTAATAAGAACACTAAAGTTGAGAATGTCCGTGTTCTTGTCTACTGAAAGAAGAACAGATACTTCTACCCTAATACCTCGGAAAAAGTCTCAAGAATGAAATCAATTCTAAACATAAAAACTATTTGTAACGTCGCAAGTGCCAGTCCTTAAATTTCGAATATTTCGGTAGAGCTACGTTTACACGTGATTAGGATGGTTCTATGAAATGTATATTTTCGGCAGAAATTTTTCGAAAGGTTACGGTAAGCGGTAATCCCAGAAGTTGCAGAGGCTATGCCGGCGTTTCAGCAGCCAACTCTTCAACCTCTAGTGGTGTCATCGCTATGAGTACACTATTTAGAACTAGCGTGTCGAATAATCCTCTACGCTAAACTCAAATACTGAAGTTTTCACAGACTCAAAATGGCCCTAATGAACACAGGTTTCACCGGGTCACAATCTCCCCCCCCCCCCCTCTCGTATGACTGAAGCAAAATTCTGAGATCTAGGAACGAAGCTCTGAGCAAGTCCTGACAACGAACTGAAAGGCAAAGTAATGTTTTGCGCTCCCGTCCGCCTGACCTTAGACGATTTCAAAATCCATGGTTGTTGTCACATGTAGCGATTTCGCAAATATGATGACTCTGCACAATCTTTGCATGTCCTCGTAAGGTGTTATGCTGTCAAAAGGACGACTCCATGTCTGGTAAAGTTAATGAGTCGTAGACGCAAGAGTGTAGGAGACACAAGTTGAAAATAAGTTCCTCGAAAATCAAATAAACACCCTTTTTTGAATTTGCGTAACTAGGAAGTGCTTTGTTCATATCGTAAGCAGGATCTATGGCTAGTTATTAAGTCGAAATTCGATGTCTCAGTCAGTTTTCGTGTTTTGGATCCACTCAAACGATAATACCAAAATATGTGATCAAAATGTGCGACATATTTTCGAACATCGACCAGCAACTCCTATTTTTTCATGTTTTCAATCCTGTGCAAGTGCGCTGTTAATTGTTGTCAGTTGTGAATTTTGATTGATTTGTATTAGGATTTTAATTCCATTTCACTCCTATTTTGGCCTAAATCTGATGTGTGAGCTGCGTTCTCGCATACTATGTTATTTATTAGCTCTATCGTTTGAGCAACAACCTAATTTGCGGCTACTGGAGCATGCTTACTGAGCAGTTCTAGTAAAAAGCCCAGTCCTAAGGCCAATGAGGTTTGGTTCAGAAGTATGTCCGGTTGCTTTTTCAGTACCACATCAATATGCACATTGTGTGCGGCTAAATTTTCCATGTCCATGGACCCTCACAAACCTCAGAAAAGGTCCCTTCAGACGGCTGCAAAGGGTTGTCAAAGCAATGTTGTCATTTTACACTCACGCCAAATTCAACTTTTTTTCACCATGAACCTTTGAAGACAGCGCCATTCCATTCATTTACTTATCATTAGATTCGAATACATTTGTTCTGAAAATTACCTTGCAAATTGCCTAGATCGTTTGAAGTTGGACTATCTTCAAGAAACTTATGAAGACAAAACATACACAAAAAACATTCTCAAATTGAGATGAACAAAAACAAACATAGCAATAGATTTTTTCAGATTCTATTAATAACTGCTGAACTACCTATTTGCACGGTCATCACATCCTTGACTTCAATGCAAAGATGAGTTAGCTCTCTCTCTTTTTACACTCATTACAAAGCACTACTCTTTGTTGGCACACTTAAAGGCAGCGTCCGGGCAAAACCTCGACTTCCATGTTTCTAGCGTTTCTTGCTTTTTCGACGCCCCTGAATCTAAATCCGAACCGAGAATTGCTTGAAATCTCCAAAACCCCCCTTTCTGGAACCCTATTTCAATAATCGCGGACGAGTGTTCCGAAATTTATCTGGTGTAGTGACACGTGAAAACATGTGTCAAAGGTAGAAACAGGTAATCTCACTTCATATAACGGCATTATGGAGTTAGGAGCCCTGCTAAAATCTTTATTCATTTTCCCATTTTCAATGGTCATGACTTCAGCGATGTGAAATTACGGGATTTAGGCTACTAAATGACATAAATAACGTTCTCCAAAAAAATATCTGTGCAGAGGTGCCGTAAACTCCAAAAAAAATCTTGCTGACACACCCTGTTTGAGTTGTTCTACATGGCAACATTTTTATTAGGTTGTTGCAAAAATAATGTCCGTTTTGCAAATTTTCACTTTGGAAGGCTATAACTTCGTTCAGTCTCCATATTTTTGAATGCAGTCAAGACCTTCAGAAACATTAAACCTTTCTTAACTTAGCGCGCCCCTGCCCATACTGATATCGCAAATGGGAAGAAAACCATGCGTCAGAAAACTAAAAGTTTTTTTCTTGAAAACCTCGTCTTCAAGAACTTACAACTCCTTTCAAGCTTTGTCCCTATATCTGCTAATTAGCTTATTCTGTAGACGCAGGCCAATAGTATAGTTGTATATAGAAAAAAACTCCAACGAAGGAGTTCTGCGAAAAGAAAAGATAAAAATTCAAAAATGTTCACTCTTTTGAGTCTATTTGTTGTAGGCTTGTAAGTGCCTAATTATGAAAATTTGGAATTCTTCGCGCACTGAATAGCTAAGTTTCTCTTCAAATAATGTAGTTGAGGTGTGCCAATTTCGAGCTTACAGAAATGGGCGAAGCTTTGGCGATTGCCTTAATTATGAGAAATTTCTGACCCATAGAATGCCAGCAGCGAGTGTCTATTTTGACGCGTCAATTTCTCACTCCACATTTCTCCACGAATCTACATAAGCACGCAGTAGGTAAACAATCTTCATTAAATACACTTGCTATGTTTTCAGAAGAATTCGTTTATTTGCTTCTGAATTGTGGTCAAGAAAGTGGAAGCTATGAGATTCTGATTTTGAGTGCGGATGTGGAAAATGCTGGTGAAATTCTCACAAGTGAGGATAGCAGCTTAATTTTACCGCCATGAGAAAGTACTTGAAAAGAGCTTTACAGTGATATGCAGATGCTATATCGAGAAAGAAAGTCTGATGGGAAAAAAGTTGTTTGGATTATAGGTCTAGAAAAACGGACATTATTTCTGCAACAACCTAATATTATAGGATTTTTGGTGAATGATTTGTGTATTTTCCGATAGCCTGAATCTCGTAGTTTTCAGGGGAAATTATTTGAGCAAGAATCATTTTCATTTCTTTAAACATGAGTAATGCTCGCTCAAAAAACGAAATTATCAGAAAGGTGAAGAGAAATTTTCAAACGAGAAGTTCTTAAAGTCGTGACCCTATTGTGTGCCAAGTCCATTTCACAAGGCTTCATCCGTTTTACTGCACCTTCTGCCTTATTTAGATTATTAATCAATCAATTAAGTTACAACATTACTCTCTATTATGATGTTATGATGTCATTGCCCTGTCTAATTGATTCACGCCCTAATTTCTCTATCTGGGAATGTTTATGTGATGTAAAACAATAAAACATTCTGCTTGGATCTGTCACCAAACAATGGAGGTGGTCTACTGTTTGCTTCACAGAAGTGTCGCACTCCGCACTCGTTTCAGCCACATAGGAGTTTGGCCATAGTTAAATTTTACAGTTCAAGGACTTCAAAGGTGTTTTGGTAGGACACGCCATAATTTTTATTCAACACGTCTAGCTACAAAAGTCGCCTTCTTGTTCAATGCAAGATCTGCCGAAAGTGTCTATCATTCTACTACAAAACCTTCCAACATTACATTATGGCATGAAGCCCTTCGCGCACAACAAAAATTGATCTGTTTGGCTTATGATAAAGTTTACTACATACACAAAATTTCTCAGTGGTAGATCATCATGTGGAAAATCCTTTGTGCAACGCTAATCTGTTTCAGAGATGGTAGATATTCGTATGGTCAACTATGCGTAGTGTTCAAACTTATTTTCAACGCTTGTGACAAGTTTAGTAGAATACACAGCTTAACTGATAAAAAGAAAAAATGGTTGGAAACGATACTTGGTGTCCGTGGCCTTTTGAGGTGAGATGTATACCATTACACTCATCTTGGAGCGCTGCTTCCGAATCTGACTTCCGTTTCTGCTAATCGTTTCTCTAAATGAAGTTGTGAAGGATTTTTGCGCCAAAGGAGACGTGGTCGCAATGCCAAAAATGCCGCTGTGATGTCATGTAATCGCTAGTGAGATAGCCTCGCAAGTTAATGTAGGTTTAGATTTGAGTCCTTTTGTGTTTTCAGTTTTGAATTGCCTTAATCAAGCTTCTTTTTTAAAGTTAGGCATCCTCGGTCTCATTTCTCTTAGGCGACCATTGACGCGAAAATCCTTCATAACTTCTTTCAGAGAAACGAGAAAAGGAAGCCAGATTCAGAATCAGCGTTCCAAAACGAGTGTGATGGTATACGTTTCATCTCAAAAGGCCACGGACACCAAGTATCGTTCCCTTGTTAGACGGAGTTTTGGGATTTAGACTCTGTAGTTAGAAGCAAATATTTTTCGAATATTTGTATTCTAATGATTTGTTCGAACTAGAAAGTTGTATATTCAGAAAAACGACTTACTCGAAGTTTTATTCGAATAAACAAATATTCGAACAAAAGTATTTTCATTTATTAGGTTGTACCAAAGTTCGTTCGCACCATTTTCATAAATTCATAATTCCTAGTTTTTTTAACCAATTTCCATTTTTCATTTTTATCTGAGAGAGCAAGTCATTCTCTTCATAGCGATATCTTAGAGGCATTGTATT